GTGAACCTCTAAGTGAGTGAATCGCCACAACGAGGACTAGCTTGCCGGCAAGCAAGTGAACCTCGGTAAAAAATCATTGTGTCATCATTTGATTCCGAGGTGATTGGTCTTCATTGGTATTCATTCTTGTAATTGATTGGTTCACTCCTCGACTCGGCAGTATAACCATGTTGCTCACTCTCTTTACATTACCGCAAATTAGTTATCAAGCTCTTTAGTATAGCTAGTTGTGAGAGCTTGTTAGTTTGGTTAGTGTGGCTCTTTAGTTAGCCTTTGAGAGCACACTAACTTAGTATAGTGACATAGCCATTGTGTGGTTAGAAACTATAGAAATTAGAATTGTGGTAGGTGGCTTGCATCTTTAGTAGGCTAGCGCAACACTTGCTTCACCTCATAATTATCTAACCGGTTTGCTAAGTATTGTTGTAGAAACTTTTAATAGGCTATTCACCCCCCCTCTGGCCATTAGGACCTTTCAGTGAGGAGGAAGCGGTGTAGGCTAGGCTCGACGAGAAGGAAGAGGGGCTTGGTGAGGAGGAAGCCGTACGGGCTCATATGTCGTCGCCACCGCAATGCCTTATCACCATAGGTGCCCCTCTCCGGATCTCAGCGGTGGCAAGGACCTCGGAGGAGGAGGTCTTTGGGACCGGCCGGAGAGCACAAGGCGGGCACAACCAGCGACTATTGAGCAAGAGAGGAGAAGAGAAAGGTGTGGGGGCCAACGAGGAGGAGGGGATGCAAATGTTGACCCACGGACCGGGGATGAAGGAGGCCCTCCGACCAGAGGACAGATGACGGCGGGGTTTGATTCAGGAGGAAGCTAGGCTTAGCCGTGTGGGAGGACGAAGGTCGAGAAACCGAGGGATTTTCCTCACTGCAACCTCTCTTCCAATTCCGTGTTGACATGGAATAGACGCGGGGGACTGAATCACGGGGAGGAGAAACCGTTCAAGAATTGTGGTGTTTGGCGTCGCGTGCCCCCGCCCCAGACAGGACCTTAGACGATCTCTTAAAAATTATAAGTACTACTCTATCAACCCATGCTGCATGCTCTCATACGGTTTAGAAGTTACTAAACATAATCATTACATGTTAATGTTTAATACCTGTAACTCAGAAAAAAATAATCATGTCTATTTTCATTTGTTTCATCTTTATTCATTTTCTATTACAATAGACATATAGGTACTATGTAATCTATATCAAGTTGTGATAAACTTAACGATATTTATCTATATGTTTTTTCATCCATATTTATAATTTTTTTTCTTTTGTAGTGGCACCTCGATATATATTCAATATGCATTTAATTATAATCTTAGTTTAAATGATATTGGTTCTTGTTGCAACTCATGTCTCATGACACCAGAAACCTATTTTTTTATTCTCAAAAAACTAATCTATCTATTAGCTTCAATTTGGATGGTCCAAGGCTAAAATTTAGCTGTTTAACAATTAGCCTTATACACCAAGCATGCTTAGATCATTTATGGGCGTTTCTGCAAAAAGCGGATAGATTGTTAGTCTATCCATTCCAAATTATAAGCCATTTTGACATTTTTACGTTGAATTTGCTATATATATCCAGATATAGATTTAGATACATAGTAAATTTGATATAAAAAAGAATTAAAACGACTTGTAATTTAGAATGGAGTACTACATGTTAATCAGAATCTCGTGTGTGTTAATCCAAGATGAACCTCAATAGAGATTTAGTGTGTGATTAATGGTGAAATTTTGGGCAAAATCACTCTCACGGGGATGGGGGGCGACCACAGTTAGTGAAGCATGAGATCTTCTTCAACCGCCGCCGCAACGTCCTTTTAACTCCTCACCGTGGCCGGCATGGCGGCTGCGGTGCCACAGTTTTTTTTTTTGACAGATCAACGGGGGGAGAAATCCCCACCTGATTTATTTGTATTTGGCCCTGAAACGGCTTGTCATAGTTGTTTTACATATTCTCTGACTTCCAAGTTTGGTTCAGAGGATTTTGGTAAACATGAAAACAGATTCAGATCGTATCCTAGGGAACAGATAGCTCAGGAGATGTGAGCCATTGCCATTTGAAATAGCATGCACCATTGATCTACCACCGTTCTTTGCTTCCGTGGCATTCTAACTCTCCATTGTTCCGCCTCACTCTTGCATGATCCCAAAAGTTGATTGAGTGAGGGCCTTTCATCTCGGAAAACCACCGCATTCCGTCTCTTCCACAACTGCCAGCAGGCAAGCGCCATCAGTGTCTGAAAGCCCTGTTTAGGTATACCTTGGGGGCAGGGAACTCTGTGTAAGTCCTCAATGCTCTGTCCAGGCGTCATCGTGATGCCAATTGCAGCCCAAAAATTCCGTGCAGTGGTGCAGCCAAATATGATGTGTTCTAGGGTCTCATCGGCTTCACTGCAGATTTCACACAATGCATTGCTGACAATTTGTTTCTTCAGGAGGTTGGTGCGGCACTGAATTCGTTTGGGGCATAGAAGCCACATAAAGAATTGCACTCGTGGGGGGGCTTTGCTATTCCAAATGTAGGCCGCTTGGTCATTATGAGCCTGGCCACGGGCCTTCAGAAGCCTGTTAATAGAGCCGGTGTCAAGCTTTCCGTTAGGATCAATGAATGGCGAGATTCTGCTATCTGGCTGATCAGTGAGAGTGGCATTTGATAGCAGTTCTTGTAGTGACTGAAGTTGTGCCGATGCAACATTTGATAGCCTACTCACAAATGCACCCGTCAGTCCATTGTCAACTATCTCCTGTACAGAGGCTTCTTTCTTCGTGCAGTGACTGAAAAGGGCAGGGAAACGGTCGGCCAGAGCATCATCGCCTAGCCAGGCATCCATCCAGAAAGATGTGTGCTGGCCATTGCCGATGGCCACAGTTGTAACGGCTTGGTATAGCGGCAAAATTGTTCTCATTACCTCCCAGTGCTCGCCATGTAGATCGCCCTTCAGCGATGCAATACATGCTCTGCTCCGTACCCATTGAGCCCATGCTGAAGACCTTGCGAAGTGAAGTTTGTGAACTAGCTTTAGCAGTAAGCAGATATTTTGAGTTCCTATGTCTTTTATTCCCAGGCCACCTAATTCCTTTGTGCTACAAACCTTCTGCCAAGCGACAAGGCACATTGCTGATGAGACCATTCCATTGCCATCACCAGCCCACATGAAAGCCCTTCTTATCTTATCGAGTTGCTGGATTACTGACGGTGGCAACGGTAGGGAGCTCATGAAGTAGACCAGCTGGCTGTCCATCACTGCGTTCACCAAAACCGCACGACCCATTTTGTTCAGAAGGTGTGCTTGCCATCTGCGGTGCCACGGTGGTCACCCCGAGGCCGCCTCCATTATGACACCGCCGCAACGACGTCACCGTGTCCAGCAGTAAGCCACCAACGGCTTCGCCATCCCGAAGCCCCACACGGGAATGCGAAGAAGGGGAGAGATCCGAGAGGGGGAGACGCAACGCCGCGACGGCATGGAGGTGGCGGGAGGACGGAGGCCGTCTGCTACCGAGCTACTCAGAGACGCTCCGAGTCTTCGAGCTCTGCTCCGGCCTGCGCGTATGGTACGGCTGTCCTCCCCTTGGCTACCTTCTTGCTAAATCTGTGAAGTGCTTGCTCGCAGGTCGCACCTGTCGCCGATTACAAATACTTCTCGACAGTTTTATAGGATATACTGTAATTAAGATTGACATCTGAAATTCTTGGAAACATCAAATCTGAAGGAACATACGTACACTGCAGCCGCACTCTATTCTGGGCAATGTGAAATCTGGACGTTTCTATGAGTACTACCTGATCTGGGCTGCATTGCCGCATTGGCACCCCATTCTCCATTCAGAACGAGCACACGTTGTAGGGAGCCTTGTTTTCGTAGAAACGAATTCACTAATTATTTATATCCCTCAAAACCGAAAGGATGAATATATCATGGGTACTTTATACACCATATTCTAATCCTACACCCATATGTCCAACGGTAATATTATCCTCAAAGCACTGGTAGCGCACTGCATTGTTTCAGAATTTCTGTCAACTCAAATCGTATTAGAACACCAAGGAGCTTTCCAGAGCGTAAACTATGAACAAGAAGGCTGAACAAGAGCCGTGGTTAGCCCACCAGGCATAATCAGCTTACACCAGTATACTACAACACCACATGCACAGCGCATGGGCGCATGGGCAGAAATAAGACACCAAAGCTGCCGCCAAATTTGACAATTTATCACGTTTTTTTATTAAACACTTCATTATTCATATTAGCTTGAACTTGAACCTCACAAGGTAGGTTTTTTGTTTCTGAAAGTTAAAAACTTACACAGTTGGGTTACAGGCACAAACAGAGCAGAAGTATGGAGCCTTGCTATGCCTGTACAACTTTCCCCCCTAATAAACAACGATACAAGTCAATCTTATTTCTTATGCATTCGGTGATTCAACAGCATTTCCCACTCTCCGCAAACCACCGTGGCTTTCCAAATGAACTCTGAGAGCTGGCGTCAAGGGCAGAAACAAAATTCTTTAGCAAAGGGTTACTTGAAGTACACACGAAACAATACACATAAACCAATTAATTGGAATTAGCCATAATTGTTATCCTCTGTTCTGTACTGTTTCCCAGAATATGCAGATCTATATATCTTTACCCCTCATATGGAAAGAACATGGGTATCTTGTTCATTCATCAAATAACCATAGTAGAAAATTTGGGAAATTGCAGAGTTATTTTATCCTTAGCTCATGTTTTTGTGGCAGGTATCAGTCACAAAACCCCTATCAGTCACAAAAAAAACCCTTTACTGTTGTAACAGAGGTTACAGGGCAAAATCAAGAAAGTAAGGTCTACATAACCAGCAGTTCCCCTTCTTTATTTATATAATTCTGGCAAAACTCCTGACAGTTTTACGTTAAAAAAACCAGCAGTTGAATGAAAACAAACACAGCAGACTACCTTAACCCAAACTAGCGAACATACCATTTGACACTGGTTGCAGTGATGATTTCATTGTCCAACTGCTGAAGGAGAAGCAGCAAGTTCAGCAGTGAGGATGAAGGTTGACATGCCAGCTTCCCTGAGGTGACGAATGTCACCATTCATGAGCCTCAGAAGGTTTCTAGAAACAAGAAGGCTCAAGCCCTCCTCTGACTGCTCTTTATTGTCCTCCTCATACATTTGTGACAATATTTCTGCTGGGACTCCTGCTCCTTGGTGCTTGATCCTGAAAACCATAAAGCAATAAACACGAGTAATTTAAGCCTTCATACCTTATGATTTCCTATTCAGAAATGAGTGTATGCATGCAAGTTAGCATGCCCAGTGTACCTAAGTTCGAAGTCTATGAGATGAAGGTTTTCCCCAATGCTGTTCTTAGTCAGTTTGGAAGAGATATCAACAGAGCCACCAACAGGAGAGAACTTCACCGAAACAAATAAGAAGTCGGAGAGAATCTGCTGGAGTCGGATACCATCCCCGTAAACTTTTTGCTTCATGAATCTCTCTGGTAGGTTGCAAGCGACTCTGATACCTTTACCCTGGCAACCTATCAGTACTTGACTTACAGCAGACACCACCACATCTTGCAACACAAATTCAGCCATATCCAAATCCAAGCAACTTGACCTGTGAACATAATGATACAGAAATATTAAGTTGGTCGTAACGAATATGGCTATAAGATTCAGTAATTAGTGAAATAAAATTAAGTGATACCATTAACCTACAGTTGAGAAAATTGTCAAATAATGAGGATGATGAAAGTAAATACAAGAACCTAATAGAACAGTTTAAAAGACTTGGCAAGAAGATTACTTGTCAGTAATGTTATCTTGATCTAAGTCGGCAAGTATCTTGTTTAGTTGGCGATGACAACTATCTGCGACACAGACCTGCCTCATCTGCTCTTCATTCAGACCTGTGCTCTTGAGTGTTTCCCTAGAATAAAGCATACCTGAGAGAGGTTTGTTGATGGCATGTCGCATGTACGAGAAAGCCTTCAACCTTCTTTGTGCTGTCTGCTCAGAGGCTTGCTGCACATGTAGCGCATGCTGCAGGTCATCACTAGGAACATGAATGAAACAGAACACTCCAGTGACAACACCATCTGCATTTACTTTTCTGTTCACTGACAGAAGGCATTCAATATATTTCCCATTGCGGTCAAAGAAACCGAATGGAGCCTTTTCTGCCTCTTCACCGGCTAATGCACTGTTGATGATAATGCAAAGACGTACAAAAGCATCTTTGCTCTTCAAAAGGCAGGAAGCATTGCTACTGTCAAAAACCTCACCAAGGAGCATCTTATCGATCACTTCATCTCTGTGCCACCCAGTAAGCTTGGTCATGGCTGCATTCCACTCAGAGCACCATCCAAATTGGTCAGCACCAAATATAGGAGGAATGAGCGGGTTCGGGTTGTGAATGATTGCCTTGTAGTCCCCCTCAACCCGAGTAAATTTGTCCATGACCAACTTATGAACAGTCATATCCTGGGCTACAAAGCACACCCCAACAACATGGTCATGAAGGTCACGACTGGCACAAGCATTTACAACCAAGATAACAGGGCCATCATCCCTCTTGGAGCCATGTGTTTTCAACTCAAATCGAACTTCCTTCTCTTCTCTGCCTGCTCAATTGATGAAATATTTAGAAATCAATACATAATACAATAAATTATTCATTTTTTTTTCTGAGGGTTGACTACTAATAGTAAGAATGACAATCAAATATTGCAGATAACAAAGGTGCTTAAGACCTTTAGTTCCACTCACCCTGTAGAGCTAAATATAGCATCCTCTGAACAATTGATACAGAAGAATCCTCCACAAGTGTAAGTATGTGTCTTCCTATAGCTTCATCAACTCTCAACCCTGACAATTCTGCTACCTTTTGATTCCATCCATTGACCAATCCATTGCCATCTACTGCCAAGATCGGAACAGTTGCTGTTTCCATGAGGCGAACCATTTCACTTGTCACTGCTTGCAATTCAGCAAGCCCATCAAGTTTGAGATCACCAATCTGGTTATCTAAACCAGATGCCTGGGCCGGCTTCAAGGCACCATTCAGTGTACCTCTAAGAATAAGTTGCAATGAGTGAATAGCATCCATTTCGTAGTCGCTCCATGGCAAACTCTTCATCTTGACAACATCAAGGAAAGCCTTAAAGGACAACCTAGGGTGCATCCTTCTGTTGTCATCCTTATCAGATGGATCATGCTTTGCACCTCCCCATTTGATTTCAGCAGCTGTATGAGACCTGAACCAGAAAAGAATGTCCTTGGACGTGATCTTAGCCACTGCCATTCCACAAATCATGTCACCAAGGGAAGCAGCTCCTGGATATCCAGCATCCTGGAGGCTATCAGTACTCAAGCCAGTGGAATCCCCATGAACTTCTGAAAGCCAGAAGGCAATATTACATATCTGAGACTCAGTTGGAGCCGTTTGAAGCCGCCAGACTTTGTCCCCATACAAAAGAGCAGCACCATCACACTTAACTAGGTCCATGATATTTGGACTCCCAGATACGATACTCAAGGGAGATGCTTCCTTGAATAGCATGTCAGAGAGCATTGTTTGCATTCGCAGAATGCTTTTCTCTCGTATCTGCTTCTCCAATTCAAATTCCTTGTTTACATGGACAGCAAACACTTGGGCCAAGAATTCACAGGCATACCGCAGTGGAAACGGGACATATCTGGGGCTCTCATGGTGGCAAACAATGAGACCCCACAGTTTCTTCTTCTGCTGCTGTTGTGCTGGTTGTTCAGGCTCAGGTTCATCATCCTCTTCATTTTCATTAACCACAACAGCCATGACAAGGGATGCAATCGAGTTCATGTTCTCCATATACTGAAGGTGACAGCTATGTGGTGCTCTAAGAGTTGAACCACACAAGCTAATATCAATGGAGAGTGCCTCATCTTCAATAATCTTCACGGATCTTGCACGGCAATCACAGATCATTCTGACTTTGTTCTTCATGAAGAGAAACCTGGCAGCTTGAGGGATATCAGTGGCTGGATAGTGCAGGCCTAGATAGGGCTCAATACCAGGTTTGGTGATCTCAGCAAAGACCTCCCCATGCTCATCTCCATGGAACTTGTAAGCCATAACCCTGTCATAACCTGTAAGGTCAAAGACTTCCTTAACCACGGTATTGCACAAGGCCTCCATGCTTCCACCTGGTAGTGACTGGATCTTGGAGATTGCCTTGGCAGCAAGCTTGTAAGACTGCAAAGCCCCAGCAGCAGTGGCAGGAAATTCTGTAGGCTTCACAGGCTCAAAATCTACCACCAGACAACCAGTTGCCCTATGAACAATGGCATAGAATGGCTTGCCTGAGGTCTTGCATTGAACTAGGATAGGATTCAGCAAAGAAACATCAGCAAATCCTAGTGCCTTCTGCAGTGCTGTAGCACCAGGGTCAGTGAAAAGGGAGCGCACATTTGTACCAATTCCTAGCTTTGGGGGATCATCAACGTTCGGCACAGCATGGCTGACCGTTGTGAGCATTTCAGGTGCATTCTCACTGAATGCAATGACCCTGAAGCTCTTCTCGTCAAGGGCCAATAAGCAACCAAATGGTTGGATGAGCTTTCCTCTTTGAATATGCTGCAAGTAGGCTATGACCTTTCCCGATCGCCCTTGCTGCTCAGGTGGAGTGCTCCTCTGTGCTTCAACCAACTTGGAGTAATCAAAGGAATCACCAGATTCTTCATACTCTGCATTGAGTTCAGCATCAAGGGTTGTTTGTGCTAATATCCTTGCCCGGGAGCTCTGGCGAGTCCTGCTGGATGAATTGGAAGAGTGGGCAGGCCTCGAGGAAGACATTTCTGTCTTCTTTGAAAAACAAAAAACCACCAGATATCACTCTTGCTTAACTGGTAAAAGGGCAGTGGAAAGCATAAATCAGTAATATGAAGTAATAACACCCCAGTGTGATGCAAAAACAAAAGATTTTGTCAACGTACTACAATATATACAATGACTCCACACATAAGACAAGTCCTTGTTGCCAGAGTATATCGTGAAAGGATTTTTTTTCCTTGTCTTTCCAGACCTTGAGAAAATATAGAAAATACCACTTTAGTTTTTGATAGATTGCCTAAAGATGAATCACAAAAAGTGATGTTTCAGTTAATAATATATTTAATCTTTCCAAAGCAGTGTACCAATTTTTTATTTACCCCACAAAAATACCGCTTAAAAGGGGCGTACCCAGTGCAGAGAGCTCCCGCTCTGTGCGGGGTCTGGGGAAGGGTATCAGTGGCAAGCCTTACCCTCGCTTGTGCAATGCGAGGAGACCGCGACTCGAACCCGAGACCTTCCGGTCACAGGCGGTAAGACTCTACCGCTTACACAAAAATACTGCTTAGTTAGGAAAAAAATCCTAAGCTGATCCAAGTTATAATTTTGATTAAAAAAATGGTAAAATCCTAATCACACCGGGCATCATGGAATTTGCCCCATGGGCTATTGCACTTCCCATGCCTATTAACAGAACGGAAAATCATATGGCAACCAGGGGGGTTGGCGCCCTCGTTCTAAAATACCATGTTGCAATGTTTCAAAAATCATGAAAAAAATCATGTATGTAGTACACCTAAAGTTAAGTGTAGCCGCAACAATTCAATTTGAAATTCATCTTTTATGTCAAACTGAATTCTTGCGGCTATACTTAACTTTACGTGTACTACATACACGATTTTTGTAATGAGTTTTGAAACATTGCAACATGGTATTTTAGCTAACAAGGGCACTAGCCCCCTAGGCACCAAATCCGCACTCCAACAGAACCAGCGCTACAGCATGTGGTTCTTAGATGAAGTCATAATTATCATAGAGTTAAATCATGCAATAATTGGTGTAACAGAATAATAAGATCAAGTTTATTTACCCCCATTAACAGCAAATGAGGTTTCGTGGAATGGGCTTTATCTGTTTCTTTTTATGATATTTGTTCAACAATTCATCTAGCATGTATGTTTTGTGATTAAAAAAATCACTGGATTTGTTTTTGAAAGTATTTTTTTCCCAAAAAATTACGATTATTTAGCTATTTTTCTCTCTCAAGAAAATTGAAATGCATGTGCTATTGGAACATGCAAAATTAGGCCCTTCTGTTGTAGTATACATGTACTATTTTCAGCTAATAACTCGGAGAGATTATATAGCAACAGATAGCTTTGCCTCTAAATTAATTACAATATGAAAGCAGCAGTTCCTTCAAAAAAGAAAAAGAAAAGAAAGAAGCAACCTAAGACTAATGATGAGTGATACCATTTGAAACTTTCAGTGGTATGCGTTTATGGAGCAAGATTTCATTTCATATTCTTCTTCAACAGATGGGGATTACAAGTTTTCACTCCTGTGACATGAGAAAAGCCCCTGCTGTTCTAAAACAGAGCGCAATCCAATAAACGACGTTCACTAACATTTCAGGAAAACATCTATGGATCCTAACATGGAGAACTTATCTGAAAGTAGAATAGCCCAGTGCTAACCAAACAAAAAAAAAAAAACATCTCGAAGACATGAATACTAGCCGCCGACGTGCTGTTACTTTTCCCCGTCCGTTTCGTTCCCAATCTTTCGTGTCAAAACGGAACATGGCACATGGACCATGCCGAGAATGCAAGAACCACGGGTAACTGGAAAAGCCACGGAATGGACTTGCAGCACCCCTTCTCCTTCCTCTCACGGTACCAGATTAGCTTAATAGCGACAGCCAACAAACATTATCCATTCGCTCGTCATCAGCAGCCCCAGAAAACAAAAAAGGGATGCTTTTTTATCTATATTTTGTGCATGAACAAATTCAGAAAAAGGGTTCTCGGGATGTTCATCTTCCCATCTTCTAAAATTTAGCATGTTAAGTTTGCTAGCCGCAGCCATCGCAAATATGCGTATGATGTCAAAGACTCAAAGCTACACAGAAGAACAAGTGAAAAACGCCAGCTTTTTGCACCCCCTAATCCCACGAGCTAGCTATGAATCCTTGTACCGAAGAACAGAAGGAGCAAGCATATCTCCTCCTGCTGATTGGTCCAAAAACAAAAACCTATCGCACTCTAGCTGGCTCCCGATCGAGGAGCCAGGCCCAGACGGGAGCAAGAGAGACGCAACAGAGGATCCAGACATTCAGTGACCAATCCAAGAGCCTCGCCACAATCCGTGTCCAAGAAGAAGAACATGCTGAACAGATGACGGTTAAAGCAAGCTGGGCAACACCGCAAACAGGGGAGGAAGGAAAGAGGAGGAGGGTAGGGGAGGGGACCTACGGGTGGGTGGAGCGAAGCAGTGATCTCTGGAGCGGGAGGACGCGCACCTCCGGCGACTCTCCCGGCAAGCAAGTACGCATAAATAGCGGGGGCCGGTGGGCGTGGGCGTGGGGCGCTGCGACGAGTGCGAGTGAGCAGCAAGAGCAAGACGACGACTGGGTGGGGCCGCGCGCCGACCCGGGGGTGCCCATGCCCAGCGCGGAAGGATGGGAGCGCAGCGGGAGGTGTCGAGCGCTGATTCGAGGCGCATGGGGAGCCTGCCAAACGTTTTTTCTAAAAAAACCACTTTTTTAAGTAAAAATTTGAGAAGTAATAGCCATTTTAAAGAAGCTTGTAGCTCTTGCAGAGCAGCTCTGACTGCTCCGAAAGATGCTCGTGAGGAGCCATGCCAAATACCCCTCACCCGGCAGGCTAGCTAGGCTACACTGCGCTGCGGCTGCACCCACCCGTGGGCCGTGGGCCGTGGGCTCGTCTCGTCGCCAACAAGCTCACCTGCACCTGTGCTGCTGCTGTAGTTTTTTCTAACGCCACGTGGTGCCACTGTTCTCCCCCACCTCAGCGTGGCAACGTCCAACGTGCAGTGTGCACTTAACTGATTTGGGTAATCTAGGCAGCATGTAAACAGCTTCTAGCGTTGTTGGGACCTGGGAGCGGGTACTATTATTAGTAGTGAAAACGCAGCATGGCACGTACGGACGGACGTGCAGCGCGGCCGTAAAACCAGGATGGATGCGATTAACTCGTCCAGTCCATGCGGTTACAGCTAGAGAGAGATTATACTACTAATAATCTATCCGTTCCGTCACCGTCAGCTCTTGTGCATAGCGTCCCGTCCAGCACTCCAGCAGCTCAGCGCTGCAGCTGACAGTGACCGGCCGCAGGAAGCACTCGGCACTCGGCACTCGGCCAGTAGATAACGTCGGCCTACAGCTGCGTGCAAAACTGCGGTGGCCGTTTCATCGTGGCCTTGGCGTGCTTGTTTTCACTGTTTCTTCTTTTGGAAAGGTTGGTTCTACTAATGGTTGCTTTATTTATTTTATTTATTTGGGGGCGTGGCCCGCCTGATTTCCCTTGTCGGGGATCGGATGGGGACGTCTGGGGCCTTCCACTCTGGGGACATGGGCACGTGCACGCCCGTGCGCCCCATCCGTCTCGGCTGCGCTGCTTGCTGGGAAACCGAGGCGGGCGCTGCGCTGGGCACCCCCTCCGGCGAGTTCTAGAGCGACGAATGAACATGTGAGACGGTGATGGGGCGAGACATTCTGTAGATCCGTAGATGCGCGGGGATAATTTTTTTAATTAATTTACATGTTTTCCGCGCGGGCGCAGATGCGCAACCAAAACCAAACCAGCCACCGCCCACAGCATGAGACGAAGATAGAGGCGGCGCCATGCCAATGCCATCCTGCTATGCTGAGGTACTTTAGCCTGGCCAAACGAAGCAACGGGCACGGCCAGGATAGTACGAAAAGAAAGGTTGTATGTAACGTAGGAATTTCACAGAAATCATATAGGAATTTCACAGAAATCAGTTTAATTTCATAAGAAAAATATAGCAATAGGAAAAAAATCTCGCATTCCAAACATGCCCGAAATGGAGGGCACAATCATATAATTTCATTGTATGCCTATAATATCAGAGAGAAGTTTCCAAGACGCGCATCATCCAAGTCCTTGTTTGACATTATTATGGAGACATCAATCATACCATCGACCCTCAGGAACCGCAATACGTCTTCCAAAAACTTTGGCTCGTGGACCAAAGGAATAAAGCAGAATCACATAATTCATAATCCACTTGCAATATTGGAGAGGTGCAAAATTTCCAAGCTTGCAAGACATGCATCATCTAAGCCCTTGTTTGACATCATGGAGACGCCAATCGCAACATCAATCCTTAGTATAATCACATAATTCATTATCTGCCTGCAACCTTGGAGAGGTGGGAATTTTCTAGGCTTGCAAGACATGCATCGTACAAGCCTTTGTTTGATATTATGGGACACAATCGTACCATAAATCCTCAGTAACAACATTACATCTCCTAAGAACTTTGGCTTGTGGATCAAAGGAATGGAGCAGAATCACATAATTCCTGATCGATCTGCAATACTAGAGAGATGAAAATTTTTAGGCTTGCAAGAGGTGCATCATCCAAGCCCTTGTTTGACATTATGGAAACAACGATAGTACCATCAATCCTCAGTAGTAACATCACGTCTCCTAAGAACTTTGGCTCCTGGACCAAAGGAATGGAGTAGAACCACATAATTCATGATATGCCTGCAATATTGGAGAGGTGGAAATTTTTGAGGTGCATCATCTAAGACCTTGTTTGACATTATGGAAACACCAATCGTACTATGAATCCTCAGTAACAGTAGAGTCTGTTTGATTCAGCTGTGGGCTATGAAAAAGCTATTGTGGGCTATGAGTTGTCGAAAACCTGCAGGGGTGGAGCTAATACTTGTTATTAGGTCAGCTAACCCCGATAGATTTTGAAAAACAAAGAGAGAATTATTGTACATGATTGTTATTTTGCTCCTATGA